ATTTTTAGGAAATTCATGCACCCTTGTGTCAAAGCAAAACAAAACTTTTTTCCAAAGGGAATAAGCTGAGTATGAGTAGCCATGGCCCAGAAACATGAATTTAGGTTGCTCTGAATGACATGTTCCATCATATAAGTGGTTGCATGAACTTTTACTGTCACAGAACAGATGATACTCATATCAGTGCATTTACCAAATACATTGGTAGGAATATCAGGTAGGAAGAGCACAACAAAGGGAAATCTCTGCTATGGATTTAAGATGCTTTCTGATGACATTCTCAGCTTTTGTGTTGGGAAGCCAAATAGTCAAGTTTAATATTCCAAGGGATTTAGCTAAAAATCAAAAGGATGTTAGATCAGATATAGCAGTGAAGGATTGGTGGGTATTAAGGGGACTAAAGATAGCCCAAGATAATTTTAGCTTTCTCTTTGCATCATCCCAATTTTGTTGGGCTATTAAAATATTTTATTTGTTTTTATTTTTTATTTTTTTGAGTATGAATATATTGCCTGCATATATGTAAGTGCACTTGTGTTGTGCAGTGCCTGTGGAGGTCAGAAGATAGCGTTGGGTTTCCCTGGAACTGGAGTTACAGATGGTTGTTAAGGGCCATGTGAGTGCTGGGAATCGAACCCGGGTCCTCTACAAGAATAGTCAGTGCTCTTAACCACTGAGCCATCTCTCCAGCCCTTTTGTTGGTTTTTTGAGACAGGATTTCACTGTGTATCCCTAGTGGGCCTGGGACTGGCTTTGTAGACCAGGGTGGCCTCAAACTCACAGAAATTCATCTGCCTCTGCCTCCTGCGTGCTGGGATTAAAGGTGTGTGCCACTCTAACCAGCCCTCATTCCAATTTTTTGTAGTTATGAATTTCTAATCAATCAGTCTGTACACTCTTAGCATAGGTATGCCCTTTTCAAACATTAGTTCACGCTTGTAAACAAACGTAATTTAGTACCCGATTGAAAGTGTTCCATGTTCCTTTCCTTCTAGGTGTAAGCTGCTCTAACACACCAGGCACATATATTGGTATTTCTAGTACACTTTAGCTGTTATTATAAAGTGTGGAGATAAACGTCTCATTTATTTCCCAAGTAGTTGTTAAAATTAATTATAATGAACACTTGTGATCTGTTTTTCAATTTGCAAATTATTTTCTCCTTTGCTTTGGTCCTCAGGAAAGTACTATATGGAAGGCATATTTATTTTCCCATATTAAAGATGAAGTGGGCTAGCAAGATTATTCAGTGTAGAAGGGCACCTGGCAACCTGAATTGGATACCCAGGTCCCATACGGTGGAAGAAGAGAACTGACTTCCTCAAGTTGTCCACTGCTGTCCATGTGTGCTGCACTGTGTGTGTGCAGACACCCCTCCAGTAAATGCAATAAAAATGATATTATATTAATTTATTTGTATCAGTGTATTGCCTCCATGTTTGTAAGAGCAGCCGTACTGTGGAATGCAGATGGAGTCAGATTCCCTGGAAGTGGAGTTACAGATGGCTGTTAGTCACCGTGTGGGTGATGGGACTCGAACTCTGTTCCTCTGCAGGAGCAGTCAGTACTCTTATGCACTGAGCCATCACTCCAACTCCATAAAAAAAAAAAAATTAAAGATGACGTTTAGAGGGTGTTAAGTACAAGGTCAGAACTCAACCCTTCCAATACAGGAACTTTTCGTTCCTCATCATAAAATAATACAGTCATCCTGAAGTAATCATTGAAGATTCCTAGTGGAGACTGTTGAAAAGTGAAACAGAATTTATAAGATACTTTGAAAGTTAGCATAGTTCTCAGAAGCAATGGGGAAAAAGAGAAATATGAACAAGATATTCATCAATCAACCAATGAAATCTTATGTTTCTATGTAGTTTCCAAGGTAGTTTGTACATATTATGACTTTTGAGTATTATAGTAGTCCATTGAGACAGGTTGATATAATCAGTCATGTCTCATAGGACTGAAGTCCTAGGCTTGAAGTCTATAGCTGAAATTAGAATCATGGCCTTTTATTCTATTACAAAAGTGTTTTTTCAAAATATGTTCCCAACCCCAAGACTCTGATGGCTGTAAAGCAATGCAAAATACCAGCAGGGTCTTGTTTTATAAAACAGCATCTTATATATAAGATCACATATACTTGTTATATAATAAAACCAAGTGATTTCTGAAATATGCAAATTTGTTGATGCCTGTTTATCAACAAGGTCTTTATCTGGAAAGCATGAATCTAACAAGATTTCTTGAAAAGGCGTTTGTCTGATTTTAGTATGGGCCATCACTAAATGTTTAGGAACTGCATACCTCATATACACAAAAGAAAAGAATTAACCCCCTTTCTGCTCTGCCCCCTCAGTGAGGGGTCTCTCCTTGATGTGCTAGCCTGAAGGGTTGCTGTCTTCTCTCTTCTTTTAGTTTACTGTTGTTTCCATACTGAAATATATTTGCAAGGAAAGTGTAGCAATTGTTTTTGGACCTGGGCTTCTGGTGGCCTTCATCCTGCCTTGGCTGAAGACAGGAAGGGCACAGTTCATCACTTACACCACAGGTGAAAAGGGTGAGTTGTCTGCAAATATTTTATGCTTCTTTCAGCTATTGTTAGGAAATGCAATCCTCAAATTATTTTCCACTATATATCGTAGCTATAGGTGATTAAAAATAGACAGGGAGGGGAAAAGGGTAGAGTTGCAGATTGCAGGACATAAAAAATGCACACCCTGCTAAAATGTGCAAGCCATGGGAAGCAGCTCTCACCAGTATTCTGGTCTGCAGAGGTTACTCTCAACCCTCAAGTGCAAGGCCCTGGAAGGACTTTACCTCTGGAGTTTCCTGCCTGTTTCTTGCCAGAGCTCTATTTTCAGACCTCTTGATAGACTTTTTTTTTTTTTTTAAATATAACCTTCATGGACAGGAAGATACCTGAAGAACATAATTTTCTAAAACATTCTTTAATCAATTATCGTTCTTCACGTTCTTTATGGGCTATGAATTTTGGCGCTTGCCTCTTGAAGTCATTTCGAATAGAAGCAGTAGTAATAATAAACATACCAGTAAGGGTCTGCCCTTAGTAGAGTGAGCCTGCGTAGCTGGAAGATGTTTAGATTCTAAAAATATAAAGACTATCAGTCAGATTAATGTCCCTTCTCAGGCTGGTACCTCAGGTGTGCTGGTGCCCGCAATAACCCGACATTCCAAGGTGGATAATAAACGCAAGCTGCTCTAGGATGGGGTGAATGTGGGTTCCTCAGATCTCAAAGCCACCCCCGGAGCAGCACCGGCTTTGCCTGGACGCTAAGATATTTACTCTGGACGATTATGCCAAGACATTAACAGCTGCCGGATTAATTATTTATGGTGTTAGTGTCAATCATCTGAGACAAGATCCAAAGAAAAATATCTTTAAATCATCTGGTTAAAAAACAAAACAGAACAAAAACAAAACCTGGTGTCTAACACAGCTCTCTTGTCATCTGTTACCCTTGAACTTCTTCCCAAAGAAGTCATCTCAGGAGAAGACTGAACCCTTAAAATTATTTTTCCTCTTCCCTTCAGTGTTTTCTTTGAAGTGCTTTCCGTTGCAGAAGCGAGTGCCTTAACCATGTTTGCACTATTTTGAGAAACTGCCTTACATCAGGGGAACCGATGACACGTTTTAGTTTTTGAAACTTAAATCAACGCGGACTGGCGGTGGGAGGCAAGCGAGCCCCTCCCCTGCGCACGAGCCTTTCAGGTCGGCGCGAGGCTGCGAAGCCCTCGGCCCACGCGGAGGCTGCTCGGTGTCGCCAGCCGGGAGCTGCTCGCAGAGGGAGAGCGCGTGGTCGGCGGCGAGGATCTCCAGGAAGAGAGTTTCCCTGGGCTTGACCGCTGGGTGACACGTCGGCCCCCGCGCGGGCTTGGCATCCGGGCCTGGGGGCCTGCGGACCCCTGCCCCGGTGGAGCCGGGCTCGAGGCTGAGGAGCGCCTGGGACCCGGTGGCTAGGCGGGCTCCGAGGCTGCGCCGCGCGGGGTGGCAGAGCATCATCCTCCGGCCGCAGCACCCCGCCCCGCTCTCCTCGCGGGTCCCGGGTCTCTGCCTCGGCACACGCCCCTCACCTGAGCGAGGCCGGCGCGCAGGCGCTGAGTGCGGGGACCGCAGCGGGAGGTTCAGCCCCGCGCCCGCCGGAGTTGGACAGTTCCGGGGCCGAGCAGTCGCCGGCGCCACCGCCCGGGCTGCCGCAGATCGCGGAAGAGCGTCTGCGCGGAGCTCCAGCGTAGCCCTGGCGGGACCGCCGCCTCCCGAGCGCCAGCCACAGCTCCCGGGCCGCAGGAGCCGCTGCCCCGCGCGCCTGCAGCCCGCGCGCAGAGGTAAGGAAGCTTCGGACGCCCAGCCCCGCGCCGGGTCCCCGGCCAGCGCCGCCTCCCCGCCCTCCCCAGCCGGTCCCCTCCGGCCCGCGGCCGCCCGCCGGGGTGCGGCCATCGGAGAAGGCTGGCGGCCCCCTCCCGCTAGAGTTTGCACTTTGTCCCGGAGCCCCACTTGTAGAAGAGGGCTCCCGGCGCCACTCCCCTGGCTGCAGAGGCGAGGCTCCCGCCAGTCCCTCGAGTAAAGGACTAGGTCGTGGAAGCCAGACGTGCAGAAGAGTCCCCCCACCAGGCTAAGCTCGGATTCGCCCTGTCGGAAAGGGAGAGTGGAAAAGGATGGAGGACAAGGAGGTCAGCCGCAGCACCTCTGTCCCTGGGAACTTCGGGGTTTGCGACTCTTTCTCTCCCTCTTTTTTATTAGAGGAAAATGAGTAATTTGGGTACAGAGGTGTGAGGCTCAGAAGGCGGCAGTGGAAGCTTAGGTCCCAGGAGCATTCCATAGCTGAACGAAGGTGTGGTTGTGGTGGATGCTGAGCCGACAGAACATGCTCAAAGTTTGCTCTTGTTGGGAGCTGCGAAGGGCAGCCTGGGTTAGCAAGCGCTGGTGAAGGTGTCAGCTCAGGGTGGGAGGACCCTGTGGGAAGGCGGAAGGGACCGGGAAACGGGAGGGGGGAGGACCATCTGCTTAGCCTCGCGACAGGGGAAGGCTAGCCAGAGAAGGCTCTTCCACGGCTTCCTCTGGCTCTAGAGGACAATTTGATGGCGAGCCTGTTACAGGGCGAACGTCGTCCTAGGTCCTTCAAGGAAAACAAACTGTTCCCGCCCCCATGAGTACAAACAAACACGGTTTGGGAATGGCCTCAAAAGTTCCTGAATTACTTCATGATTTTCATATAGAGATGAGGTTGAAGGGTCTCTCAGGTTTTGCTTTTTCTGGTGTATGGTTTGTATACCGTGGCGGTAGCAAACTTTGTTATGATGGAGCAAAATAGGGCTAGGTGGGGGATGGTGCCCAAATGGAGCAAAACATTGTGTTATGGGGCATGGGAATTGACAGCCTCCACACAATTCAAGAAGGGTGAGAAAGGTATTCATCAAATGAAAGTAAAGGTTTTCAAAAGGCTGTTAAGCGACAGCCCAAACATTTAGGCACCAAAGAGCCACCTTTTCAGGACCCGTTTCAAGTCCTTTGATTTTGTTTTGACACAGTTGAGTGTCATAGATGAATGTTTTTAGAATACAAGTTTGGCTACCCAAGACTTGTTTATTTGGTCAAAGCATTGATTGTTCAGATTTTATATTTTCATAAATTAAGTATTTGTGGATTTATCATTTACACTCTTACCTATTTTTGAAAGTGATTTAATGAAGTTTAAGGTGAAAAACCACAAATCAAATAGCTATTCTTGTAAACCTCCTTGACCTCTCTTGGATGTATTTGGAAGCAGCTCTGTCCTTGCTGGAATCATGCTGGTGATGTATCAGTGTTTTGCAGCATAATCCCTAATGTAGCTCTTTTGCATTATATTATGTTATGTTACATAAGTAATGGTTTCAGAGGCACTTAATGACCACTGTCATTGATATTCAGAAAAACAATGTTGATAGGTTACAGCATTTTAACAATATACAGATTCACAGGCCAAAGAAAACAGTGAGTTTAATGTCTTCTTGAACTAAGGCAGAAAGAAACCTATGGAGGGGTTTCCTCCTCAATCAAACCAGGTGGTTGGTATGTATCACCCAAGCACAGCAGATAGTGAGACATGGCAACAGTTGGAAGATAACTTTACAAAGCAGGGCTATTGTATGAAGATCAAATATCCTGGCTCTGAGAGAAGAGAAAATCCTTGAAAACAAACAACTCTGAGAGATGAAATATCTACACAGAATGACACTGAGTGGGCACCAGGAAAGGCAGCCTTACCCCCTCCTTCTTTTATCCTTCTGGCTGAGTTTGAAGATGTCTCTGCTTGACTTTTAATAACAGCAATTCATATTTAAAAAAAAACACAAGCAATTAGCTAACTTCTCACAGAAGTGACTACTTAATTTGTGGAAATCTGTTCACAGAAATAAAGGGCAAAATTGGCTTTCTAAAGTTTCCAGGATCCTACGTCTCCAAAGATCTAAAGGACAGCATGTATCTGTTGCAATTTCCATTGCCTTTATTTCCTTCTGTTTTCATACCCGTCCGCTTTCATCATTTCTCTGTCACTACCTCCCCATTCCTGTCTCTGTTCCCATGCATCTCAATACGGCCTTTTCTTCTACTTTTTCTTCTTATTAGTTAAAAAAAAGTTCCAAGGTTTTCTCTAGATTTTATTTGCTTTATAAACTATCTCCTTTTTGCTTTTTTGTATGTTGCATTTTATCTAGTGATGTCCTTTGTTAATCTAGTCATTCTTTCCTAACAGGCCATTGCAGCTCTACTTTCCACCTAAACTTCACATTTACATTGTGCATCTGGGAGGAGGGCGTCGTGAACTGCTCTCAGGTGCCTCAAATCTACCATCTGCTTTCTAAATTTAAGGGAAAACTCTAATCACTATCGTCTTTCTAAATGAATGGAGCAACTTTGTGTCAGTTTGCACTGTTCTCCCAATCACCCAGAAACCCCCCCCCCCTATGTCTTTGGTTTAGGAATGTAATTCACAGACAGTCCCACAACCTCTACCTCCGCAGTGCTGCTGCCTCTTCTTTTTTTAAAAAAAAACATTATTTTATTTTATGTATATGAGTGTATTGCCTGCATGTGTGTAAGTGTACCCATGTCATACAATGCCAGTGGAAGTCAGAAGAGGGTTTCAGATCCCCTGATTGAAGTTATGGACAGTTGTTAGCCACCATTGGGTACTGGGGACCGAACCTGGGTCCTCTATAAGAGTAACCAGTCCTCTTAACCACTGAGCTGTCTCTCCAGCCCCCATAGTACTTCTTGACCTGACTTCATCTTCCCATTCCCAAAGTGATTGCCTTTATTCTTACCTTAGTCTAGACACTACCACTTTGGCTTCCAGTCTAGTTTCCTGTCTCTCTCCTTCCAAATGCATTTCACACTTGGTTTTGCATAAGCTTCCTGAAGCTCAACCAAGCTCAGTGACTAGCAAACGTTTCTACAGTGCCCCAGTAAATAACATAAACCTATATTCTAAGAACTAAGACCTTCTGAAAACAAATTATATTCTGATCTCATTGATTCATTCATTCATTAAGTGAATCTGTGTCATCCTAGGCACAGCCTTGGGTGATAATTTTAAAGGCGTTTTGCATATGCTTAGTGATATGCTCAATTTTTTTCCAGTGTTGGAATCCACTGCTAATACATAATCTTATGTGGTTGTAATAGGGCCCTAGTAACCCCACTGTTCTCTGGTTCCTCCTTTTAGTAGTCTGAAGCATTGCTGGGCAGGAGCCTCATTGAAACAGTCTGACCTACCCTGTGCTGAAACCAGTGCTCTCTTTAAAAAAGTTTTTTATTTATTATTTTAATTTTATGTGTATGAGTGTATTGCCTACATGCATGTATGTTCACTCATGTCATGCAGTGCCCATGGAGGTCAGAAGATGATGTCAGATCCTCTGGAACTGGAGTTATGGATGGTTGTTAGCCTCCATATGGGTGCTGGGATTTGAACCCAGGTCTTCAGTAAGAACAGGCAGTGATCTCTCCAACCCTTATTTTTTTTCATTTTTAATTACATTTTTACAAATTTCATACAATATATTTTGATCATGTTTAGACCGTCTCCCCTATCTGCACTCTTCTAATACTCCTCACCCATTTTCATGTACTCTGTTACACACACACACACACACACACACACACACACACACACATTAAGGCCTATGGAGACAAATTTGTATCCTCAAATATTGTTCAGTGTGTGTCCATCCACTGGAGCCTGGTCAACCTACCAGCATCACACCCTTAAAGAAAACTGACTCTCCCTTTCCCAGTAATTCTTGGTTACCAGTAGTTCCTTAGCTAGAGTTGGGGCTTCTTGTCCACTTCCCCAGTTCTACGCTGGGATTTTGTCTAGCTCGAGCTTATGTGGGACTTGTGCATGATATTGCCATTGCTGTAAGTTCATATGAGTAACTGTCAAGTTGTCTGGAAAACTCTGTTTCGTTGTGGTCATCCATCACTCTGACTCTTACAATCTTTCTGCCCCCTCTTCCACAATGATCCCTGAACCTTGGGAAGCAGGGTTTGATATATGTGTCCTATCCAGGGATAAGCACTCTACAGTCTCTTTTTCCCTGCACATTGGCCAGTTGTGTGTCTCTGTTAATCACCATCTGCTACACACAGAAGCTTCTCTGGTGAGAGTTGAGAAATGTTTTAATCTATGGGTAGAACAATAAGTCATTAGGAGTACCATGTCCATTTGGCAGAATAATAGTAGTAGGTTCTCCCCTGTGGCCTGTGATCTGTCTAGCCATAGGTTCTTAGGCCTGATATCAGTGTGGGGTATGGGTTCAGAGCCAGTGCTCTCTGAACACACAGCAGGTCTCTGAAGCCTGCCTCTGTGCTGCTCCTCTCTCTACCTGGAACAGAACTTTCATTTTCCCTCCACTTTCACTTGTCCCATAGTCAGGACAATTGCCACATGCTTCCTATCTCCCTCTGAACTACTAGTTTTGCCTCCACTAAGCTCCATTGCCTTCTATTTCTCGTCTCTTTGCGTCTTCCCCATCTATACTTATGCGTTTTCTGGATTCTTCCCTAAGCGCACTAAACAACCCATCCTAACCTCAGACCTTCATTTCCTAAAATACCTAGCCTGGGGTCTGGCATTTCATAGGCTATCATAGATAATTTAACTAGTTTGGACTACGTTCTACTTAGTTCTCTAGCCCCAGCTTGTAGAATAACTGCTTTAAAAAAAAAACACTCAATTTGGTTGTTATAGTAGATCTTGTGTTCTCAAACTTTAATACATATATAAGCCATTCAAATTGTTGTTGAATGCAGATTCTGGTTGAGCAGGCCTTGACTGAGG